GCGTTTCATTAATTCCATGAATTCAGTTCTCTTATTCATTTTCATTGCCTTTATAAGTCTCAGGCTAATAGAATTGTTCGGATATTTTTAAAGAAAGGTTCAAGCCAGATGGCTCCAAATGACATTTGTAAAAAAGACTTTAGTTCCAGAAAAAGATTTTAGTTTAATACAATCCAGATACATAGTAACTGTTACCAAATTGTTACTAAACACAACCTTTCCTATTTGATGACACAGGCTTTGGTAATTAATACCTTTTATGTCTGTCCTGTCTGTGTGAATTAGCACCATGATTGCTAGAGCTTAGCTTGAGAATCGATATCAAAAGATTACATTCTTAGAACATGGATTCTCATTATCACTAATATTTATCAAGTGCTTGCTTGGCTAAGCATTTTACAAACATCTTATTTAATCATCACAACAACACTATAATTTCAGTGTTGTTATGATCGAGGTAGTTCAGAAAACTTAGGCCTAGAGAGGGTCACACAGCTGGGAAGTGGAGGAAATTAGAATTTGGATTCCAGCACCCACATTTTTAATGTGACTTCTAAAAAGGCTTTGCCGTCTGAGTCACACTGTGTGAAGACATGCTAAAGTCATTGTTGGTTATATCTTCTTGTTGCTAAAGGTTGGTATTTTAGGAACATTCACATTGTTGACCTTGCCGTCTGGCCTTCTGTTTTTGAAAAGGAAAACAGTATTTAACTGATATTTTTGCACCTTTACACATTCGTGGTAAAGGGTCAATACAAAATCAGGACATTTTAAGAACTATTAATCATTGGTGTCGTGTCTGGGATTATAGCCAACAAATGCTAAGTGATAGGCCTTTATTTTGCGCTCACAGTAATGAAACCAATAAATTTGATACATAAAATTTTATAAATTTTAGAAGTTATACCAGGTATAAACCTGAGTATCTAAACCTTCCAAGGTTTTTATTGAGTTGACTGGCTATAAATTTTTATTTAAATGTTCGAGTCCATTTTTTAATGTCCAGATGTTAACTATTATAATAGTACTGAATCATGCCAAATTACTAAATAGATAATATGTGTACAAACATTTATGAGTTTCAGAAATGGAGTGAGGGCTAAGATTCATTCTTCTGAATATACAAGACTTAAGTTACCGATTTAATCTTTTAAAGGAAAAAATTATCAACCATATTTTTAATCATTAAAAGAAGAAAAATGAAAAAAAAAAGAAAAATGAAAATGAAGGTTTTTTTTAAGAGTCTATTATGTTGTGTTGAATTTGTAGATTTTTCTTTTGCACTTTGAATGATTAGAAGCCAAATGGTATTTTTAGGTTAATTTTCAAACTTCTCGTGGTAGTTATGAGACCAATTTTATAAAGAAAAAAAAAAATGTGACTCAAATTTCAGTTTAAGGCATCTTACTTAGCACGCCAACACATGTGATATTTTTGGAAAACTGGTGCAGCCCAGATTGCCTTTCATTGAGAAATACAACAGGGTACAGAAAGTCCTGGTTTCTATATTACGTATCATAATGCTCCCTAGAAACTCAGGCCTAGAAACAAAATAGAGGATACACTTTCTTTTCTTCTTTCATGTGCCATATTTGATTCGAGTATTGCATATGTAGACATAGCAATACTTTCAGTGGACCTATGCCACATTTGTTCTTCTGGTTGTCGGGAAATTATTTTCTTTTCTATATTTTGAGTTTTAGTAATAATCCTGGTGGTGGTGCTCTTTGACTTAAAAGTTCCTTTCACTACCTATTGCATTACTCTAAGGATAAAAAATAAAGTTCTTTTTATGTTAACAGTGGTAGATAAAAAATAAGAATAGAGCTTTGACATAAAGGACACCACCACCGTATGCTTTAAAGGGTAATTCCAAATAGCTACTCAAGATGTCCTGAAGTGGATAAACTTACAGATGGGAGACAGATCTGTGTGACCCTGGGAACATCTCTTAACCACTGTGGGCTCAGATTTGTAAACATGGGCTAATTCCTACTTCGTAACATTTTCTCAGCTGATTGATAAAACACTGTGTGTAAAGTCCTCAGCACAATGTCTGAGATAGAGAGCTAATTAGTTAACATTAGTCACTTTAATTTCCTAATCTTTATTTTATTAATATACATTCCTGAATAGGGATAATAAAGAATCATCCTCAGACAACATTTATACCCATATTTCTTTCCTATTTCATAATTCAACTTACAGTACAACCCAGAAATATAAGCACGGAATGTATTATTATTATACTATTCAAAATTTAGAAAATTGCCACTTTCAGGATGAAAATGACTTCTCAAAAGGAAAAATGGAACTTGACGTTGAGCCTGTAATCTCTAATTTTGTGTGAGTGTCCTGACACCATTCATGATGTCTGCTCACAGAAATTGATCACAAATGTTCTTTCTTTTTCCAGTGCCAGGAGATGGCTGGCCACTGTAAGAAAAATATGTTAGTCTCAAGAAGTTAGGTTGGTCTATAAATCTGGTAAGAACTGAGTTTTTCCTGTTGAGAGATTATCCTTTTTTTAAATAACCCTAAGACTTTTCATATAATTACTGTAATATACTGTTTGTTAGACTTTAGGGTAAAATGGACTTGGATAGATAGGAGGGTAGCTTCATTTTCCCCACATTCCCTTTTTGGGGGGTTATTTATGATAAGTTAACCTAAATTAACTATAATACTATAGGATATTTCATTACCTATTCTCTAGCTTATTACAAATTTAGAAAGTTAATGACTGGATATTAAAATTTGGAGAGTGCATTTAATCTACTTAAAGAAACCTAAGGTAACATGTCAAAATTATGAAGAATTTCATATTCAACTTCATAGGCATTTTGTGGAGTAAGTTCATATCTAAATGGGAGCTTGGATGTTCTTTCTCTCTTAAGGTAGCTAATATACCTAACATTCAAACTATTTGTTCAAAAGAACATTAAAAGCACATCAGATGAAATGGTAGAAAATAAGAAAATAAGATGGATAAGTAATGTAGAAATTAGAAAATAAGATGGATAGGTAATGTAGATGTAATATATGAAGATCTTATGTATTAGAATCAAGTAATTTGTCTTTATTTCATAGGCCAGTGTTAAGAACTGTGTAAAGTCTGGGATATTATTTTAGCTGAAAGCTAAAGAGCTCAACTGTTATTTCATGATGCTGGTGGAAGACACAGTATTCTGGGTCAGGAAAAAAGGACTCTAACTCATAGCAGAAGCAGTGGCTGATGCTGGCATGTTGCTTACATTAGTTGTTACGCTGTTCTCTCTCCAAATCTAACAGGGTTGACCAAAAGGGCCAGTGATGGATACCTATTCATGTGAGTTGTGTTACAGAACACTGACCTTGGGAAATTCACACAAGCCTGCTTTTTAGCTAGTGGAAGTATCATCCCATCCCTCGAGGATGCTCACTAGAAGTGCCTCCCTAGGAAATGGCACAGATAAAGATCAATCCACGGGTTTCCACTCTTATTATCTCTAAAAATAACTTCAGGGATGCTCAGGATCACAGAAAAAATGCTTTTCCAAACATCATGTAGCTCTCAACATTTTTTTCATGACAAAAGACACATTCCCCTAGAGGATGAGAAATGGTGCCATCAGTGGCTATGCTTTCTACATCGATGACTCTCCCGAGTAAGGGAAATCCAGTCCCTTTGCCTTCAGGTGGCTCCCATACAACTGCCCCATAGATGTAGCCACCGAATGGTGGGGGAAGGAGGAAGTGTCATAACTATATTTTTATTTTAGAAAGATCATTCAAGGCAAAGTGTGGAGAATTGAGCAGAGTGGACACTGAAGACTGAACCTAATTAAGGAAGGAGTTACGATAACCCTGGTATGTCACCATGGAGTGATCTGAGTTAATGTAATTTGGATGTAGAAGGTGACCGTAGCAGATGGCTGGCAACTATAAGAAAATTAAACTAGCCTGTGAAAAACGTCTTGAACTAACCCAAGAAGTCAAATTGGTCTATAAATCTGCTAAGAGAATACTGGGCTGGAGAGGGGGGGAGAGAAGGAAAGAGGAATAATTGGGTTGGAATTGAGATATTAATGAGGAAATCAGCAGCTAAGAATTTGAAAGTAGAGCAAGTTTGGGGACAAGAGAACAGGTTCAGTTTCTGAAAATTTTTATTGGAGAAATTTATTAATTTTAGGAGTCTATTAGTTAAAGATAACAGGGCTCAATATATACTAGGATATAGAAACAAGCATTCCATAGATGATTTGGCATCCAATAATTAAATTGACTTCTTGTTAACTTAAAATCAGCATGATCATTCACTGCCTAGTCAGGTCTCTATCAACCACTCCTCCTCCTGCCCCTCCCAACACCAACACTTAGCACAGTAGGGTGAATACTGGGGTCTGCTAGACACTTTAATTCACGGCAGAAAAGTCTTAGTCAAAATTAGCACAAAAATATCAACACTTCTGGTACCAAAATAATATTCTCTAAAGTCCTCATCAAATAATGTGATGAATAAATACTATAAACACTTTATTTAAGCCAACAGTTCCAAACTGTTCTAATTATAAGCCATAATCAGAGAAATAATTTTAATTTTAATTTTATCCTCTTATTTCTCTATACCAAATTATAACTACCAGTCAACCATGAGTAAAATACATATAATAGGCAAGAAAAGAAGCCGACCTCTGGATTACTGGATGACAAGTGAGAAGTAAAACATCATTCTTGGGCAACGTTCCATTCAAGGATAGAAGAGAGCATTTCACAGACAAAACGGATATCCAATTGTTATATTATCAATTTATCTATTTTGTCAGCAATATCAGCTCTAGATACAAATATCTGATGCTCAAAAAGTTGGTAAGGGAGCAAAAATGGGGTTGCATAAGATTGAGTCATTGATATTTTAGTAAATTTATTGAAGACAAAAGATAACCTTGGGCTCTGAGAAAGTACCTAGATCATTAGAGTTTCTTCATTGTACAGCAGGGAGCCAGCGGCCACGCTCTTACCTGATTGCAGGTATTGATGTCGATGCCGCCCTTCAGATACTCCACGACTTTGTCCAGGTTGCCTGCTCTGGCAGCACGGAGGAAGCTCGCATTGCTGTCAGACTGTGAGAGAAAGAAAGAGCAGACTCTTAGCAAACTATTGATGAAATAACGACGTATCAATTACAGAGTGACAAGAATGTTCACACTGCAAAGAAGAAAAATTTTAGTTGGAAATCTTTTAACATGGACTTTAAAACATTGCATAATTATTTGCAGTATAAAGTAGCAATTTCACAGTATTCCTACAGCATTATGTATATTCAAAGTCAAAGGGAGATATTCTCTACTATATAAAAGAATATAAAAGAACCAGTAAGATGAAAATAGTTGTTATTGCTTTATTCCAAATCTTCAGCCTCATCCAAAGATGCATTTACTATACTCCCAAATCCCAGCGTTATTCATTTTAGCTTCAGGATTCTAGTGACTTTAGATCGAGCCTAGTGGGACAGTCAGCAAAGAATCAGAAAACTAAAAGAATTTTTTTTGCTTTCTTTTTCTTTGCTATTGATTTTCATATGAGTGGCAGGGTGGGTCCTTAGTAGTCATCTGTCTTCATAACAAGGGAATCATATACATAATAGAATAGAAAACTCCAAAGATGCTTTGGGGAAAGAGAATAACACTGCTTGGCAGGTGTGGACGGGGCTGATGCAAATTTTGTGATTGCAGTGACTTTGGAAAAACATGATTAAATTGACACCAGCTGACACAATACCAGACTCTTGGTAAAGATGATCACTCTGGCTGGAGTCTGCTTTTTAAGTTTCTCATCTTCCCACACTCCTATCTAAATCTGATCCCAGAAGAATCAACCAAATGCTCCTCAAGAAAAGTCCTTAGGAGGGTCGGTCCAGAGATGTAGCTACAAACACACTGACCCTCTGCCTGGATTAAGAAGTTTGACTCTTCACCTTAACATAATAATGACATCAAACTTTGTTTTGGTAGGTTCCAAAACACCTGCACAACTCTCATAGTCTTTCTTGTGATATGTGACTACGAAGAAAATGGTAGCATGGAAAGAGACATAATTTACTATTAGGAATTAAAATCGGCTCGGTGCCTGTGGCTCAAGTGGTTAAGGCGCCAGCCACATACACCTAAGGTGGCAGGTTTGAATCCAGCCCGAGCCCGCCAAACAACAA